CTAGAATCATACTCACGGCGTTCAAGATATCATGAAGCTACGTAGGGAATAAGGGCGCTAGTAGTTATATATAACGGCAGTCGCGTTGGGTCTGACTGTTTAAGGGTAACTCATGCAAAATTTAGTATTTTTCCAAATAAATTTCAAAGAAAGATTCTCTTTACTAAGAATTCACATTATACAGGGCTTTGTATCAATCCTCTCAAAATTGGTGGTGGTGGAAGAACTGTTGAAAATGGTTAATTATATTATTCTTGGTGTGTATATACATACGTTTACATACGTTCCCAACAATGAATTCTGTCCAAGAACCATCTACAGGGTGTTACCCAGTCAAAAAGGCTGATCACCTTTTCCTTGTCTGCTAGGCTAATAAAGGCAACTCGATATGCCGGATTGCCAAGATTCCAGGGAATGATTTTGCAGTAGGAAAAGTAATATTCCCAGAGGATCGATCGTATATACGGCACAGCAAGGATCCCGATGCATTGAGTTTCGGCGTTGAGAACTTCATCGACATGAACCTAAGAACAATCGTAGTACCATGATGATTTGTTGTTTACAATTAATAGCATGCAACAGGAGCCAGATATAAATCAACTACCAGCTGAAGGTGTGCTGAAGTGTGTGCGGTCACATGTGCATAGAAATGTTTTCTAAATTTCAGTGGAACTAATCGAAACATTTGGGACGGGTTCGACCAACTTGTTGGTATTCTGGTTAAGCATGCATACATTTTAGCGTAACGTATAAGGGTTTTGAATCATCATCGCCTTTTAGAATAGTAGATGTAGCATCTGAAGCTACGATACCGTAGATCATAGGCAAGATCACGGATAGATAAATTACCTAGCACATATGAGCTCCGGCTCCTAACTGGTGTCCTTGCCAAAAATGATCTAATCCGAGTCTTAACTTTTGCAGCTGAAATTTCTCACGGTTCTTTCCACCCGTGGCATGAGCCCAAAGCATATTAAACCCCAAGACCTTTTTTGTGAGTCATTTTATAGGGCTATAGAACATCATAGCGGGCCCATATGTGGCCCGTACACCGATACTCATTTGAAATTTCATATGGGACCGTGAACCGCTTCCAAAAAGATGTCTCGCGGAGACACCAAATGAATTAAAAAGGTCAAGCTGGATTATCGAGCTTTCTGGTCCCTCGGTGATTTGCTATGCCCAACACGAATACTGAATAACACCAATCATACTCCAGTGTCTCCGAGAGACATACATGCGACAATAACGTCATGTAATTCAATATTGGTTGTCCGTAAACTATACGTATTATAACTCGAGTCGATCGTCTCTTAGAAGCTAATTATACGGAACTATAACGGCCACCTTTACTTAAATCAAATCATACAATAGTAAACAAAGATTACTGAGAAACCATGTATTCGGTATTCGCTGGGAAGGCCATCCACCTAGGTCGTGAGTATACACCTTGGTTGTCTTACATAGGAGTAGCAATATGCAGTACAACAACGTATATATCACTTCCAACGGTGTGGGATCCGGAATATTTGGTCTCCCACATGTTACATCGTGGTAGGATGCTATGGGCAGATGGGATATAATTAACGATCACATTGCTGCCTCATATGGGCTTAGTACATGGATCATCCAGAACAACTCTAAAAATGACAAAAAATGGTTAGTTGAGGGGTAGCTGAGCGGAATGGCTCTATGATCAGCACAGGGGGTAGTTCAAAATACTACATTGGTATATGCTGTCTTATATATGAGCGATAATATGTTGTTACGTGTATTGATGAGTTTTACTAACTGCATGAACATCACTGGGGGTGACCTTGTTCCCGCGGTATCCTTGTAAATACCTGGAAGATAAATGTAGGGACATACATACAAACCTTTTCCGAAATCCATATTAGGGACTAATATGTGTTGATATCCTCTGTGTGGGCTATGTCAGATGGTACGGTTTGGATTCTAGAGCTACTGTCAGGATTTGCTTACCTAGTACCCACAGAAGAACCCTCACATGCCTTGTAATGTGTATACACATACTTAGAGTACTTATTGAATAGAAGCTGCCTATTATATAATGCCGGGTGGCGTGGTATGTGCACGTGTCCGTGTCCGTGTATGTGTGTGAGAGATTCTAGAACGAGTGATTCCTCATGTCTAGCGAGAAAAAAAGTATGCATGGGGCGTCTCCCGAAGTCCAGAAAGGGCTTCTTAAATTAGAATTATGAGACCGGGGAAATTATTTTCATTTTTTCCACGGCTCCACAAATCTTTAGGGCTGGCGGTAAATACATGTACCTACATGTCCGTATAGCTGGTGTATACATATATGTAGTGATTCTTCGTGATGCTACAATCTACGATTTTTCCAAGCTTGAGCACTCGCAAAAAAAAGGACGAGCGCCGCTCAAAACGGTTGAACGTTCCCTGAGCTCCTATTGCGTTGTGGGTATTTAAACTGTGTACTCATGGAATCGGACGGTAGACGTTGTGAACTGGTGATGCCTGCTGCGGGGAGCCGGCATTTCCAATCTCGGTTCCACGTGAGACACGGACCTTAGTTAAGACTCTGTGGCGGATATTCCGACGTCGGATTGATCAGCGGTCGCTTAGACTTGGATTCTCCCACGTATCGTGGTGTTGTTAGAGTCTTTCGCAAGTGATGAATTTCGTTGTTTAGACATGGTGCCAATTTATTTTCAATGAGGGAAAGGACGTTTGAAGTCAAATAAAAAAGGAAATATCTTCTCCAGATGTGGATCAACTGTAGTTCCAATGGCTTGAGAAGAAGACATGTTCCTGCATCGATAGAAGTCATAGGAGCCGTGTTGACCCTTTGTCTTATCGGGGACTCACCCGGGGATTTCGGTGTTTTGAAGACCTTGCAATGGATAACAATAACACATTGATTTAATGTCAAGGGTGAAGAGCACAAATTTCTGTCCCGAGAAATTGGCGTTGGTCGTCATCTTTTGATATCTTGGGTCACCGTAACTTTTGGTACGAGATTGGTCATTATTGCTTGGGCCTGGCACCATAGAGTGCATATTGATTGACTGAGCTGCAACCTAGATAGAGTAACCAATTTACCTGTTCATTTCTCAAGTTGAAATGTCAAGAAGCGACATCAGAGTCGGTTTCTCAGACGAGGGCTTCCCCATACGACGTGACAAACACCAAAGTTGGACCCCTGTCTAGCCCACGCCCCCTTTTGAACAAACGGCCCCCTTTTCGGGGTGTGAATCCATCCCTTCACTCGCGGAAGACCGGGTTTCCAACATTTTCGCTCTTTTCCATCGGTTCATGTGCGAGTGGCTTCTCCGGTGCCCATAGCATGATACATAAAGTACATACATGTACTTTAGGCGTGGGTAGGCAAAACCGTTTTCTCTCAGCCATCGTTTTCAGTAAACTGATGGGAGTTCCAGGAGTTTGTTCCTCTCGGGAAACTGCATGTTTTCGAGGGGGAAGTTTTAGTTTGTGCCCACTCGTGCGCGGCGGTCACGTTCAGAGAGAAGATAACCAGGTGGATACCGGTAGCCCACATTAACAAACTGCCGTAGCCCGTACCTTTCTCCCTCAATGTCCGCTGCACTAGGGAACTGTAGGTACGAGATCTGGTGTCGTTGTTGGACAACATATTCAATCTGAACACGACTTGCAGCTTGCAGCAGTCAAATTCCGGGGGACTTTATTAGGTAGGTACATATGTAGGTACCTATATCTGAATGGAAGAAGGACCATAGGTCCCCTTTTCCTAAAGTATTCTGATAATTTGGATGACAAGTGACAATGAGGAAAGGTGTAGGCACAAGGGTGTCCCATTGCAGTAAGAGCTCAGCCGTGTTTGTGTGTGTGTTAATGGGGGAGGTGCGATTGTTGTCCATTTCAGGACAGCGGTAGGGGCCGGTTGGTACGCGCAGCAGCTTCTGTGCAACTGTGAGGTACCCCCAAATCCATACCTTCTTCCATCCCCGGCCTTCTTTTCCACCCACCAGACCTTTCTGGGACCCTCTGTGGACCTCAAGGTGGTTTGCTGTGTTTGCTGCACCTTTTATCACCTATCGACCCATCCCATAATCTCATTCCATCCCCACCTCCAATCCTGTGGACCCTAATTCCCACTCTCCCCTCACCACCTGTGCCCCAGACGTCCAAATCCATTAGGTTGCTACTGTTGTATGTGTGTAAGTGTGTACCTGTTACTGTTGCGCGTGTGCCTCGTTCCCCATTCTCCCCTGTCGGGTCGTCTTCTTTTTCCGGTTCGTCCAGAGGGAAAAAGAAATCAGGCAACTTCCGACCCTGCAATTGGAGGAAGCGAGCACTGTCGAAGCAAGTGTGTGGCTTGCATACGGTATAGGTACCTAGACAGTAGTTCAGATACACGCAAACGAGATACCTAGCTCCCCTCATCCCAAGAATACTCTACATACAATCCGAGAACCAGGGACTGAGCCAGAATTAGTGGGAAAAAGAACAGTAGGAAGAGAATAAGATCGGAGAAAAATTATCTACATATCTCTCCAAAGAAGAAAAGGGTGGCCCTCAGCCAGAAGCGTGGGATTGCATCTATCTCCTTTCTAGCTAGATTGCTCTGGAGGGAGATTGTGAGAGTACCAGACGAGAGAGACATAGTTGGGGCCTTCTCAATCTTCTAGACTTTTTGCTACCACTCTTCAGGGTCTCACGCAGCTGTTAGTTATTCTTAGCCGCCTTGCTCTCCTTCCTCTATCCCATCCCTCCCCTCTTGCCTTTTTCTTTTTTCCTCAACCTGCTATACCAACATCCTAATTCACCTCCCCTAACTCCGCTCATACGCAAGTCGACTCTTTTCGGGGGCTCCCAACGCTCTATGCTCCCTTCGTCTCTCGTTCTACCCCTTGCAAGCAGCAATCAGCCGAAATAACCATCAGCCATTTTGAATTCCAAAGAGAAAAATCTCTACGACACATCTAAAAAATTGCTTCAAAACCACATTCATTTGATCTTTACTTAGCGCGAGGACTATGGTCGGGTCTCCAGCGTCCCCAACTCCCTCTTCGCCTTCGCAGTCTCGACCGATGAGCGCCATTCTACGACCCGCGCGAAGCTCTAGTCGCATGAGCATCAGCAGCAGGCCTGGCGGAAGTAGGGCTTCTGATGAGGATGGCAGGACATCCGTCAAAGTTGGTACGTACATGGAACTTTATTAAATCATGGTTTCGATTGTTCCCCCAATTGTTTGGCTGCTTTCGCGGGAAAAATTTCCCACCATGCCGTGTCATACAAAACATGAGGATTCAATAAAACTGACGGCTTCATACAGCTGTGCGCGTGCGACCACCACTCCGATCATCCGATCCCGGCTTCGAATTGATCCCTCAGCGGTTCCAGAAGGGAATGGTACATGTTACGAGCCCCACGAGTTTGGCTGTAGACAGTCCGCAGGGCAGAAAAATATTTGTTTTCGACAGGGTTTTTGGGCAGGATGTAAACCAAGACGGTGTTTGGGAATACTTGGAAGAAAGTGTGCACGCGTTTATTCAAGGGTACAATGTTTCTGTCCTGGCCTATGGCCAGTCAGGTGCGGGAAAATCATACACTATGGGAACTTCTGGCCCTGATGAGCAGAGTGACCATAAAGTTATGGGTGAGTTTTAAACATTCAGGAACAATTTTTTTTTGGGGGGGGGGGGCTGTGGTTTAGGGGGGTGGTTTTCTCTTGTGGTAGATAGATGTGGAGTTGTCTAACACGGCTGTTTCACTCAGGGGTAATTCCAAGAGCTGCTGAGGCTCTTTTCGAAAAGCTTGGGACTAGCGCACCAAACCCGCGGGACTCGAGATCTGGATTGAGAGCGCCGGCAAGATACTCATCGCCGGTTTCGGCAATGCACAAACCGACCATCGAAAAAGGATGGACTATGAAAGCTAGTTATGTAGAGGTTTGTTCTCTTTGAACCCTAATTTAATTACACAATTAATCGATATCTAATTAATTTAGATATATAACGAACAACTACGGGATTTATTGCTTCCAGAGGGAACTAGGCCGGAGGAAAGGGTTCCTATCACAATTCGCGAGGACACCAAAGGCAGAATACTTCTCACGGGTCTTCACCAAGTCACAATTAATACCGTGGAAGATTTGCTTGGCGCATTGAACTTTGGTTCCTCCATCCGTCAAACCGATGCTACAGCTATCAACGCGAAATCTTCACGCTCACATGCCGTATTTAGCTTGAACTTAGTTCAGCGTAAAGCTAAAGGGTCTACAGTTAATGGCGCTACGACTCCAACAAGAGAACACGAGAAGCGATTTTCAGTACCACTTGACATGATGAACCAAACCAGCCAAGATGGCTATGTTACTGTGGACAGTAAGATGCATTTTGTGGATTTGGCAGGTAGTGAAAGGCTGAAAAATACACTTGCACAGGGTGAGAGGGCTAAGGAAGGGATTTCGATCAACGCTGGTTTGGCTAGTTTGGGAAAAGTCATATCTCAACTTTCTTCACGTCAAGCTGGGTCTCATGTCTCGTATCGGGATTCTAAACTTACGCGTCTCTTGCAAGACTCACTGGGTGGTAATGCGATCACCTATATGATTGCATGTGTCACACCCGCCGAGTTCCATTTAAGTGAAACCCTTAACACAGTTCAGGTATGTTATAATGTATTTCTGTCTTATATGATACATGCCTAACACATCCCAGTATGCTCAACGTGCTCGCGCAATTCAAAGTAAGCCTAGAATTCAACAAATTTCGGATGATGGGGACATGAAAGCACTTGTCGAACGTCTTCGAGCCGAAATTGCATTTTTGCGGGAACAAGTCAAGAGCTCTTCTGAATCAAACGATAGAACGCCATCAAAAGCTGGCCAAGCCCGATCGGAAAGGTCAAATGGAAAGGAAATGGAGCTTCAAAATCAACTTCTTGATCTGCAGGAAAATTATGGCCTCTTAAGTCAACGACACGCAAGACTCATCTCGGAGATCACTAGGGCCCGTGACTGCCAGGATGCTGCCAATAACGCAGAGTACACAGATAGTGCGGAGGAGAGATTAGCAAGATCAAATTCATTCGCTGAAGCTGTTGAGCAAGTTGTTCTTGAATATGAGAAAACAATTCAGAGTCTCGAAAGTTCGCTTACTAGCACCCGATCTTCAATGGCCACTTCCGAAAGTTCGCTGCTCGAGAAGGAAACTAAGCTTGCATATATCGAGACCGTCAACCAGCAATTGCAAGCCCGTATTCAGAAGCTGATGGATCGAGAATCAGCTACAGAAAACTACCTCCGCGACTTAGAAAGCAAGTTGGATGGACATACGTCCGGCGAGGAGAAGAATGCTTCTATCATTGCTGATTTACGCAAGGAGATTGCCAGGGCCAGAGAAAACGAGGTTGGCTGCGAAGATTATATCTCAACGCTAGAGGAACGACTGGCCGAGGCAGATCAGGATTTAGAGTTGATGCGGAGGGAAATCGATCGCCTTGAGCATGTGATTGAACGTCAGCGCAGTCTTGGAAAACTTGATCACCTTTTACATGAGCTGGATTCTCTTAACGCACAGGGAAAGAAGGATAATGTGAAAACGGAGATCAACGGGGGTGGCGGAAATGTGGTAGAGCAGGTGATAGAGATCAATGGAAAGCGTTTTAGCGACCCTACCTCCAAGGTCGAATCGGTGCCAGAGGTTGATGAGACATTCTTGGATACCCCTGAAGGCTCCTCAGAAAATGGAAGACGATCACCTCTATCTGACGTATCTGAAGCTAAGTCTGAGCGATCTTACCACCACGGGATCCCCCAAATTACCCTTGGGGAACACACTCACGTTGAATATCCGCCCCAAAGCCCAGCCCAGTCTCAGTTTGTTGCAGATAAATTAGAATCAGTGCAACAAGAGCTCTTTGACTTGAAAGTCGAACATGAAGCGACAATTAATGAGTATGACCAGATGTCTGCAAATTACGAGGCTGCTCTGCGTGATCTCGCATCAATTCAGGACCAACTTGACGAAATTCGCCACTCCAAGTCTGGCCCTTCTCGAGAGACATCACCACCTCCATCTCCCAACCAGAGACCTACTTCTTTTTTAGTGGACGCGAGGGTGAACGATTTGAAAGTGGATGGAGAGGGACATTCCTCATCCTCGCGCTCTCTATCATCGGAGTTGTCCTTGGCTGGGGATTCGCAAACCTTGTCGGAGACTACATATGATGAATGTCCACGACCCCGGGTCAGAGATGAACCGGAAATGCAGAGTAGGGAGAGCCGAGCGAGGGAGGAGACTTTGCTCCGAGAGTTAGAGAGCGTCAGGCAGGAGATGCAGGAGGCTTTGTTAGCTCAGGAGGAGGAACATAATCGCCTTCATATGCAGCTTCGACAGTCTTTGGATCAAGTGGCTGAGTTGAGACAAAAAGAAAGACAGAGTGGTGTTATCTCACCTTCCACCAGTCCGTTCATCCGCCGGAAGTCGAGCCAGACTCTTGCTGTTCTTGACCGCGCCAACCGATCTTTCACCAATCTTCGCAAGATCGCAACTGAGCACTTTGAAGATCAGCCACAAGTCTTAGAGAATTTTGAGTTCAATCTAGATGCGGCACTTCGCGAGCTTCAAAATCGCTCAGATCGTATTTGTGATTTGGAGGATGATATCAAAGGCTTAAAGAAAGAGATGGAAGCTAAATCTGCGATTATCACTGGACTTGCCCGCGAGAGATCAAGGTACATCACTCATTCCCCATATCCCTATTTTGAAATTTTATGGTTCTAACTAGATTAGTATCCAATCTTCACCTATGGATATATCTGTTGTGGCCGTTATGGAACGCCGGATCGAAGAGGGCGAGGCTGAGCTAGCAAAAACTCTTGAGATTCTTGCAACGCGCGAAGAAGAGCTTTCACGAGCCAAGACAGCATTGGAAACCCGAGCAGGCGAATCCACAGGAGATGCTGCATATTTCCTGCAGGAATTGACTAAGGAGCGCACTTTGACCGCTGAGCAGGCACAGAAGATTGCAGAGCTCCAGAATGAAATGGATAGTCTTCGGGCGAGCAATGATGCCCAGGTTGACTCCCTCAAGGAATCCAGGAACGCTCTTTCGTCTACTATAACCATGCTTGAAGGGGAGTTAGCAAGATCTATAAAGAAGATTGATCAAGAAAAGTCTTTGAAGGAAGCCGTCGAGGAAGAAAAGACTTATCACCAAGAAAGAGTCGAATCCCTTCAAAAGACTGTTGCTGAGAACCGGGCTACCATAGATCTTCAATTGGCTCGCGTTGCTGAGTTGGAGCGAGCCCACGCAAACACCAAGCTGCAGATTGATTCCCACGACGGTTCGAGCAGTCCTGGACTCAGGGAACAGCAAGAATTGGCTGCAACACTGCAATCAACCATTGCTCATAACCGGGAAACCATCGAGCTTCAGCAAGTCCGTCTTAATACTCTCGAGGCTTCGTATCGTGATGCTCTGGATCAACTGGAGACTCTGCGCGCGAAAGAAGCTCGGGCTACTGCAGCTCTTAAGGTGGCTGAAGCCCGCGTATCTAACTCTGGAGAATTTACTGGTGACAACAATGCCAGGCACGATGAGCTTCTAGAGTCTGTTCGGAAAGAACTAGAAGAAAGTAAGGGAACAATTAAAGAACACGTTGCAAATCTTACGATACTACAGGCATCATATGCTGAGGCCAACACCCGTATCGAAACGCTCGAGAAGGATTTGTCAATTGCTACACAGGGATCAGCTGAGCGTGATGCAGCTATCCAAGCACTTGAAGCGGAGGTCGCACAGAGCCTGGAGACTATTAAACGACACGTTGAGACCATCGCAGAACTTCGGGAACTACGAAGTTTGTCAGAGAAGCAGATCGAGCAACTCACTGAGAAAGAGACCAAGCACGCCAAATTTGTAGAGGATCTCGAACAGCAACTCACAGTTAACTTCGATAACAACGCGGAGACGGCCAAGAATCTGGCTGAAATGACTGCGGAGTATGAGAAGTTGCAACAAGAGAGAAAAACACTTATCGAAGAGTCTACAGCTAAGAACACCGAGTCTCAGACGCTTATTGAGAGCCTCAACAGCGAGGTTTCGAGTCTTCAGGTATGTAACACTTCGTTGGAACTTCTTCCTTTCGTTTTGTTTGTACAGTATACTGATCTGTAATTTCTAGACAAAACTCGCAGAAGTTCAAATGGAACTTCAAGGCCTTGGAGTCACCCGCGCTCAGCGTTCTAATTCAACTTCCTCGAATAGCAACCTCAGAAAGAGCACATCTACGACTTCACTCCCGTCACCACCACCTGCTATTCCTTTACCCCCTCTTCCCAGCAACGCAGCTCCTCCTCCCTCCGGTGCACAAAGCCCAACTACAGCATCTAGACGCCCCAGTAAGGATTACGCCATATCCCATATGGAAGACCAGGAGGCTCGTATCAAGACGCTGGAGAAACAATTACAAGCCGAGAAGGCCTTAACCTCTACTCTAGAAGAGGCACTGACAGATTGCGAAAAGACAATGAAACGTCTGACGACGGACCGCGACAGTCTCCAGGTAAAGGCATCGCAAGTTCAGCAAGAGTTAGAGCGTACAAAGAACGAGTCTCAGACGAGCAGGTACTCCATGCAAGCTGTCGAGGAAGAACGCCTTGCCAGACAAAAGGCAGAACAGGCTCGAGAACAGCTCGAACAGAGAATGCAGGCCTTATCGAAGAAGAAGCGCTCGTTCGCCTGTTTTTAAATCAATCTGGTCTGTGTTTGTCAATATTTGCTCTTCATTTCCGGAGTTTATTCATTTCATTAAAAAAGATATCCATTTCCCTTCTATTCGTGTTTTATATCCCTCGTCTTTCCCCCATATCTCTTGGTCAACTATTTTTCTTGCTTAGGTTCTATTGCTTTTCGGATCATGGGTGGATGAAAGTGATTTTGATGAATGTTTTCCTTTTTATCCTTTATCTGCTTGTGGCTTTTCTTTTTTGATACGATTTTTCTTCATTGTTCCAGAAAAAAAGAGAAAAAAGGTGTCTGTGCCAATTCTTCAACATCTGAGGAGAAAAGGAACAGGAAAAAAACAATGTCTACCAGGACGCGATGGCTACTCTAACGACATAACCATAGCTTATGCATCTACCCCACTTACAAACTACATCTCGAACAGCCCCTTCAAGGGCCTCTTAACTTTTACATCTTATTCTCTCTTCGCCAGCCTTTTTTGGGCTTTATTTTTCTCTTCTCTTCACTTTCCTGTTCAATATTCACACTGTTTTTCTCTTTCGTTTCTATTAGCATTATTCACAGGGCTAAAGGTGTTGGAATTCGGGTTTCGCTTCAGACGGGTGTCGTGTGTTATTTGACTCGAGATGATTTTATTATTTTTTATGAAGAGAGCGATTCTTACTATTATCTACTCTAAACTTGCTACTGCTACTAGGGCCATATCTGTTGAGGATAACCTAGTCAGCTTTGGTATATGTTACTCTTTATTTCTCCATTCTCTGGTTCAACTTGCAATTCTCCCCTTTTTCGAGTACAAGTATTCTCTTGTGATTCAACCGACAAGATTGGAGGTGCTGCATATACGTAAGCAAGTGTTTACCCCTTCTTTTTTTCTTTACCGCGTTAGTTTAGTAGTATCTTGGGGTCTTTGGGGGATGGAGGTGTTCTGTTGGCATTGGAGTATGTAGGAAGGAGGGTGGTTTTTTTTTTTTTTTTTTTTTTTTAAAGTTGCATCATGTGATTATTCAAATATCGTAATTGAGAATTGATAACGTTCTAAGATTGGGCCAGCCAGTGCAACGTCTATTTTCATGCGTTTTATTTTTTGCTAGAATTACGGTCTGCTAAAAACTGCTTGATGGCCTTTGCGCTCTCGTGCGCTGTCCGAAACACTGTTTCACATTAAATAAAGTCTTTCTTGAAATTAATAGAGCCGCTGGGATATACTCACAGTGTCTCTCATTCTCATCCAACCCTTTCAAAAAATCCCCACCCCCACCTCCGATCGCGCCTGCGGGATTATGTGCATGATCCGCGATCTCCGCAGCCCTTTTTTTAAACGTCTATCATTCCTGTTAGCTCAATCCTACGATAGATGTCCAATCCTGGAGGTTGTACCTCTGTCAATATATCCACCAACTCATCCTCTTCCAACAAGCTTAAAATACGCTCCCCAAGAGAGTAAAAGTGCGATGCGAGAGAACGCAAATCAACAGTTGTTGGATCCGCCTTCAAAGCATTCTGGATACGGGGACCTAGAGCTGTAGGGAGGTCGAGAGACACAACATTGGTCATTGTACCAAGTCTCTGGCTTACGCCTAACATTTCACCAAGCCATAGAGGAAGCTCTACTCGTGTGCCTTGCTTGATCTGGAACCCCGCGTGAGCTCAGATTAAATGGTATGAGCTCGGGGGTTGATTCACATACATCAGTATTTGAGTTTCCCTCCAGGTAACCAAGCCCAGGAATTGTGATTTCAAAGATGCATGGAACTTTCTATGTTTGGTTAGTTAACAGACATATACCGCAACGGTAGTGGAGGGTTGTTGGCCTTACCTGAGCATCAGTCAAGATCGCGTCGATGTCATAGTACGACATTGATGGCAGAGGTGGCAATATTCAGGGTCCAGGAGGAGACGCGTTGAATTTGACAACCCTAAAGTGGTTGCGAATGCCACGTTGCCAAGGGAAGAAATTACCCCACATACTGTCACGTGCTCACACAATTTTGGGCATTTCTGTCATTGACATCTTGGAACCAAGGTAGTTTTCTTTAGTGCTAGAAAGATTATCATCAATTTGGTTTCTAATAAATGACCAAGCATAAACAAACGGTATGTAAATTACGGTAAATAACCTCGCCCTTCATTACGTAGCGAAAACCAAAGATATCGAGAGACAGCAGCTGAGATAACCTGGGGAATAATTGATTATCATGATCATGATTGAATGCGCTCAATTATCCGGCGCTCCTGGGTTTAGTTTACTTGGTTAGTCCTACCGGAAATAATCATCAATCTAGGCTTCGTAATTACAGTTGTGGCAGATCTAGAACTCCACGAGCGGGCCTCTAGCTCTCCGGATCCTAAAATTGAAAATAATTCAATGTTTATTAGGTGGGAAAATTCCTCCTAACAAAGCTAGCATCCTAAATTATATATAAGTAAAGAAAAATGAACTATATTTTAGACTAATTGTAATCGAATAAAATAATTTTCCTAATGCTTATATATCATTATCAAGGGGCAAAGAGATATATTAATTTATTATGTATTGGGCATTTATAATTGATTTCCTTTTCGATGATTAAATCCTATCGATATATATGATACTAGGTCGAGATAAAAATGGCTATAGGTCTATGGGAAATTAGCTCTAGAAATAACATATAATCATTGCCTCAAGGATCTTACGAAGAAAATTAGCCATAATTTACAGCGTATGGATCAAAGGCATAGAGTACGTGTATATACTCTGGCTGCTTGAGTTCTATATGGTTGTGGAGTATTTCTGATTCCAACTCAGCTTGCACTAGTAACAAATACTACAAAACTTACCCAAAGTCATAAAAGGCACCATAGATACATGTAGTAAGTATGGCCGGCCGTGGGGTTAAACCGCCCAATGCTGCAGCGGTGTGATAACTGATGCTCCTATCAATACTACTAGCATTTGACCCTATGTGGCACCTAGGGGAAAGGAAAAATGTGCCAACCCGGGTCTGTGCAGGAAATCATAATTAGCAATGAGCAATTTGTTTAAAGGGCGCCTCATAACTCCCTAACCCCGTCTTAATTCCTCCAATTGACCCCCAGAAATACCAACTATATATATAGAGCACGATGTAAACAAAGCCTTACTGTGGTAGCGTAAACATAAATATAAAGCGCCGCACCAAGATATTTTTAGTTATTCTACCCTAAAAGAATTCCAGGGGGCACTGTACATTTTTTTTTTCACTTTATATATAAATGATTAATATGTCTACACTAACGTTAACAATCTGTATGTATACATGTACTTATGTATGCATATGTACATACTAAGCTATATGTAGTCAACATGCATTGTCTGATTATTCATTTTCAACGAACGTGAACATGCATGGGCTAGTTGCGAACACTGCACCATTTCCCGAATTCATATAAACACACTTTTACTTTTACTTTTATTTTGTTAGAATAGCAGTACACTATTAAGTACATATGTACATGTACATGTAGTTAAAGTTCATCCTGCCGTGGCCAGTCCCCATATATATACTTAATTTTATGCGGCTTACCTACTCTATGGCATCCGACATCTATCGAGCGCAACGACAGATTGAACAAAGCTGGACCAACTGCGTATGGCGTTTAATAAGCCTCTATATGAAGAAAGGATACAATTTCGGGGTCGGGCATATATTTGGAACCAGGGTTAGGTGATTCGATAAGTATTTGCCGCCCATCACGGACTATCACTCGGTAACAATTCTAGGTAGCAGCATAGCAATGTAGCAGTAGCAACTATATGTATTTAGGTCCGTGCTAAGCACAATTTTCTACCATCCAAACAAAAAATCCCAGTGGTTTTGGCCCAGCATTCCAGTTATCATGCTATTTTGGTTGCAGGGCTCCCGAAGGAAATAAACTTACTTGAACCAGAACTCTTTAGTAATAATGCTGCTAAATTAACTATTTTTTGAGCTATTCGAAGCCTTCGAAATAAGATCAACAATTATATTTCAGATTTGTTCCAGCCCTCAAATTAGATTTATATATATACATAACGATCCATTCTAATCAATATTAACTACCTCACCACCAACCGATTGCTATTAAGTACAACTACATTCTCTAACTTATCTCACGTCTATTGAGATTAATGATTCTATTCTAATTACCCACCACCTCGTCCTTCTCCAACTCCCAGGAGGTTTGCCCTAGTAGGCCCTGTAACAGGTTATGCAATTCGGTTTCCAGGGTTGTACGGTTTTAAGCATACCAAATGGCTCTGTTTGTTTTTTGTTTTTTAAAAAAAAATGTCCTAACTCTTCAGCTAGTACTGCCATCTTGGTGATTTAGCTGCAGCTGGTTCTTTGCGATAGACTCGGAAACGATAGTAATACCGATATATACATATAGTTATAGCAGTACGAGCTGATCTGAAATGGAATTTCGAGTTTTATAGCATTGCCGGTTCTTCAACAGCATGTGCGCATAACTACATGTAGGCTTTTTGTACATAAGAAAACTTGAACGAAAATCCGAAATAGATTTAATTTACTATCATATTCCCATTACCCTATTAAAGTAAAAACATTAAAATAGTATTGTAGTGCCTGCTCCTGACTTAGTGAATTGCCGAAGATATTAAATGCATCGTGACATCACATTCAGCTACTTGTTGTATGTATGTACCTACTCCACAGATCGCGATATCAACACTATCCGCATCGTGCATATGTATGTACCGACGTACTCCAGACTGTGATTGTCGGCCAATCGGTTCGCGTATGCATATGCGGGCCAGGGTTGGGAGGAATGCGGCTATCAGAAGACCGTGCCTCGGCACCGAGCTTCGTCGGGAGCGTGTACTTAAGAGCTCCTTAACCCACACCCCCGCGCTTCCCTTAGCTTCCCCGCAAAATACGATTGACACTATCATAAATTTCGACCATCGTTAGATTTTATACTCAGAATGGCACCCTCACCACCTCAAAACAGATTGGCCCAGGTCGCGTCACATATAGGGACATC